CTTGAATTGAATTTACAAAATGTTTTTGGACTTAAATTGAAGTTTTAAAAGGTTTCAAAAATAATTCAAAGTCCATTAAAATTCGAATTTGAGCAAAAATGTTATAGGGTACCGATACCCCCTGCAAGGGTATCCATACCCCCCTGAAGGCTCAAATTCCAGATTGCTCAGATGGTATCTATACCCCTAGGGGTATCTATACCCCCAGGGGTATCCATACCCATGGTATCGATACCCCCAGGGGTATCCATACCCATGGTATCGATACCCCCCGGGGGTATCCATACCCATGGTATCGATACCCCCCAGGGGTATCCATACCCCCTGGCTGCAATGGCTAGTTTAATTTGAATTTTATGAAGGAGTATCGATGCCCTATGAAGGGGTACCGATACCCCCTATCGTGGGCAGCCTTTTTGAGCAGAAAAAACATCCTAAAACGGATCCAAAACATCCCCAATGGCTATATACGACTTCAAACTCATTTCAAGCTATAAATACAAGCTGATGACACTTGAAGAATAAAGAAAATGATTATCCAAGCAATCAAACACAAGAGAAGAGTTTTTCATTCTTATTTCATCTTTCTCTTGTAAATATTTTGTTCTTGTGAGCTCAATCTTGTAAACACTTACCTTTGAGAGGTTTATTTGTTTACTTCTTTTATCATTTTGTAAAGGGGAAAGGTTCTAGCTAATCCCGTGTAAAAGCTAGGGAAAAATTCTAGTTTATCCCAGAAAAACTAGGGAGTTTGTAAGGTTACTCTTTGTCCTAAAAAAAGAACAAATTAGTGAATTTATTGGAAAATCCTTGGTGAGGAGCTAAGGTTGTGGATGTAGACTTGGTTGAGAAGTCGAACCACTCTAAATCGATGTGCAATTCTTTATCTTTCAATCTCCTTACTCCCTAAACACAAAAACCGATCCCGACCCTCTTTGTAAGCAATTCCGGTTGTCGATTCGAGCTTCCTAAAATCCAAAGAATTGGCATCAGAGCCTAACTCATTAAGAAGGTTTAACAACCTTAAGACGCTCCTCGAAGAAGCTCTACCAATTCCCGACGCAACCGACAAAGAAATAACTTTTTCCTCCGGTGCTTATTATCTTGAAGAATATCCTATTATGGATTCACAACCGATCAACAAGCCACCCTTCTTCAATGGAGAAAATTATGCACATTGGAAGAATAAGATGATGTACTTTATTCAATCCTACAATCTAAGAGCTTGGAACTCAATTATGGACGGTTACTCCTCTCCACTCGACAAGTACAACGATTGGAGTAAATAATATATTATTTTAGGAATTATCTTTAGCTTGTTTTTAGGAATTTGAAGGCTATAAATACCCTCTTAGGGTAAGCCTAGAAGGACCATAGACACACACATCTGAGAATAAAATCTCCTTCTTCTCTCTTGCTTTCTCTCTATTTTTCGCACACTTCTTTATTTTCTTTTAAATTTTGTTTTCAACAATTATGTTAAGTATGACTTTGGTCATGCTTAACTAATTTTCTTTTAAGCTGAAGGATAAAGCGAATGCTCAATTCTAAACGTGAAAATTAAGGGTTTGCTTATTGAAGCATATTCGACTTTCCGAGAACACACTTAGCAAAATTGTTTGCTAAGAGGAAACTGAGATTGGAATCAATTATTGTTGAAACAACATAATCCGAGTCAGCAGCGAAGAATTGTCCTTGTAAGCCGACGTGAACTTTGAAGTAAAGATCTGTTTCGATAATCCGAGAAATTTGAGATAAAGCTGAAGTCGGAGATTGTTTTCACTATAAGTTTCTCTTTATCTCAATCTCTTTAGATTATTTATTTAATTATTTTCTTTTATTTAATTCTTATCTTTTATTTTAAGAACCAACTTTTAAAAATCTCTTTTTATCTTTACTACTATTATTTATTATTTTTCTCTTTTATTTATTATTATTTTATTTTGTTTTGTTTTATTTTTTATTTTCCCACTTATTTATTTTATTTTATTTTATTTTGTTTTGTTTTGTTTTGTTTTATTTTTATTTTCTCTTTTAACATTTCATTATATTTTATTATTTTTTTCTGAAATTTAATATTTCATTCTTTTATTTTTTAATTTAATTTTTATTTGATATTTATTTTATTTTATAATCTAACATTTTTAACTTTTTAGAGATAATTTCAATCGATCAAAGGTAAGTAATTCGAATCGAATCTTTAAATTTTAATTTTCGCAATTAAGGCAACCGACAAATTAAAATGGTACCAAAAGGGCAGTTCAAGGGTGCTATCTTTCCTTGACTGTAATCGACTCCCGAATCCGACATATTTCTGGTCAAACACAGATCAGGTAAGATAGTATACGATAAATCTAAATATTTTTTAAATGATCGGTGGCGACTCTAACGTGTTTGATTTAAGTCGAAGCTCAATTTCGGGCCCACCCGAAAGATGACCGCGGCATAAATCGTTAAATTTTAAATCCTTACACTTTAGTCACTGACCCAATGTTTAGGGTATTACAGTTAGAGCATCCCACAACGCCAAAAAATTGGTACCTTTTGAAAATAGACGATGTTCATTTTTAAAAGAATTATGAATACAAATTTAGTTTTATCTTAACCTCACGTAAGAATGCAATTTTAAAGAAATATAGTGGACATCGTTTGGAAGCAACAAATTATGTTTGCACCCATTTAAAAAGGAGACCCACATCATTTAAAAAAGATGTCACCATGGTACATACAACTAAAAAGATTGCAATCTAACTACTTCGGACACTATCTCTTTTAGCCGACATAACAAAATCACATTGTCTCAATTTTTAAAAGACGAAAACCAATTTTCGTTTAATGCAATTTTAAAAAAACCGTTGCCACAAAGAATCACATCATTAATTGTCACATATAAAAAATAATAATTGATTAGACACAAAAACTAAAAGAGAATCAAAGTCTAATTTATTAATCAATTTTCAAATTAAGGTCTAACTTGAAACTTAATTAAGAATTTTAAGGCACATCTACTAATCATCTTCAATTTATGGATTAAATTGAATTAATTGAAAACTAGGGAAAATTCATTAATCAATTTTCAAATTATGAACATAATCAAAATCAATTAAGAAATTAAATTTAAATTTATTAATCAACTGCAAAGTAGGGATCAAATTAAATTAATTGATAGTTTTAGGCCAAATATTAATTAAGGACCAAATTGAACCCAACTAATTATTAAAGCCAAATTAATCAATTAACATTTAATTAGGACCTAACTAAAGCTGATTATGAAATTAAGGCCAAGTCGATTAACACATTCGGATCTAGGGACCAAATCAAACTGAATCGTGACTTTCAGAGCAGACATGTGAAATTAAAACATGCAAATAGGACCAAAACAAGTAATGTTCAAAGATGGCATGACTTCAGAAAGGATTAATCCCTGAAAATCCAAAAACACGTTACCTTACACATTACCAGACGTGTCAAGCAAACATGGGCCCTTATAAAGTGCAATTTCAAGGGTTTTTAAAAACAGTGTTTGCCTTTACAGTTGCCATTGCTTTCAAATTTAAACACGAGTAAGAAAGGTGAAAATCATGACCTCCTTCGATTCCGTGAGATTGAATCGTTGGATCGAGCCACAGTCGAAGTATGTTGCCTTTTCGATTTAACTTGCCCTTTTATTTTACTCTCCGATTTTCTTCTCACAAGTTGCGGATTAGTGTTGCGTTGACGATGTCGAATGACTGTCGTTAATGGATTTGGTTTAGGGGCTATGATGGGGTCGATAATCAACTGACTTGTGGATGTCGTGGTGAGCTCTTTGGTGCGCTAGTGGAGCTATGGGTGTACTGGTAAGCTCTCGGATGGAATCCAAATAGATTAGCCAGTGGGTATTATTCGGATAAGGTGAATGAGGTCGAAGATAACTGAAGTCTTGAGTTTCACTCATCTATGGGTTTGGATTAGTTTAGATTGGCTTTGACGACGAGCAGTAGTTTGATGACAATAGTGGTAAGGGCTTTGGGCATTGGCTAAGTGACAAAAGGTTAGCAATGGTTGCTGTACATGGGGCCAAACGGTTGTGATAATGACGCTATGGTTGTGTGATTGAATCGATGGTTAGTGGTGGTGCAAGGTTGTGTAGCTCGATGATTTCGAGCTGTGGCTGAGAGGCCATGGCCTCCACTCTTCAATATCTCTATTGCTTTTTGTCTCGTTGTACCTCTCCCTGTGATTTATCACTGTGTAGTTGTTGAAGCCCCCCGGCTGTCACCCTCTCCTCCTCTTTCCTGTTTCAATGCTTATGATTTATAAAGGTAAAAATATAGTCGTTGGGAGGTTGCGCCGGCCAGATATTCAGGGATTCTTGCTAGATTTTCGGGGTTGTTAAAATGGTTTAGATACGTGGGGGAGACGTTGGACGAGTTTGACTCGGGTTTTTGACCAGATCCGGGCTAATTTGGGTTTTTGTGATTTTCGAGGTAAACGGGTCTTAGTTTCTGAGTTTGGGTTTGGATCCAGCCCTAACAATTAGACCCGAACAAAATTTGGTAATGCCATATAATTTTTGTTGTAGAATACCTCCAATCGATGTTCCGCTTGTCCCTCAAATCTCTAGTCACTAATAGCTTTTCTTTCACCAACTCATTTTCCCTTTATTTAGTTGGTGACATTGGAGGGTAAAATATTAAATTAAATAAATTAAAATTAAAAAATTTTCTCCAATCACGACATGTATCACCACCTAATTGAAAATTAAATTTATTTAATTGAATTAAATTTATGACTAAATTGATAGAATGTATAAATATGGAGAGTCGAATGTTTAATTATACCAATTTTATTAACTGTTAGTCGGTACTTCCATTAAATATTAACGACAAATGATCTAATTGAATGCATTTAAATAGTTAGATGACCTGATTAACAAAAATTTAAATATAATAGTCAAAATAAAAAAAAACTATTCATTTATATAGTTTACACTTAAATAGAGTTTTATACTTTTCTCAGAGCCTGTTGTTTTCTCTCTAACAATCTAGAAATCAAAATAAAAACGATCTAAATTTCCGTTTATAGTCTCTTTCTTCCAACAATGGGGAAATCAAGCAAGAAATCAACCCCCAAAGTAGGCCTCTTCTTTCATCTTTCTAAAATAATTTCTCCAGTTCGTTTCGTCCTTTTTTTATGAATTTTAGTTTTGGTTTAATTTTGTGTTTTTTCTTTTTCTTTAATAGGTTGAAGTAGCACCTGCCGTAGCTGCTCCTAATTCGGAGAAGAAAGGTATTTATTTGCGTTTTGATTTTGAATTTTGGATTTTTTGGCATCTGTGATAAAGGATCAAGATTTTCTGATTGATTTTCGTGCCCCGGAAGCTTCTTGTTTATGATTTTATATTTTGATGATGACTATATAGGCAAGAGAGAAGCTAAAGGAACTCTTGAAAAACAAGTGGTTGTGAAAAAGCAGAAGAAGAACGATGGCGTCGAACAATCTGTTGTAAAGAAGAAAGTTGAAGCAAAGACCCAAAGGAAGGAGAAAGACGAAACTAGTAGTTCTTCCGATGACACTTCAGATACTGAAGATGTATGCCCAGGATCACTCTCCCATTTACTTATGTTTTTACATTTGTTGCCGTTGTTATTGATTATGCTGTTTGTTCACTTTTCATATCATGCTTTTACATTATTTTATCACTTTCCGCTTTAACTTATTTATATGCTTTTCTGACAATTGGTTCCTAATTCTCTTCCTTCTATTAGTAGCACGTTCATAGGATTCTAAAATGAAGCACATGAAGACATATCTGCATCTGCTTCGCCTATTTAATGTCATTTTTCTTTTCTGGTTCAGGAACCTGTGCCTCCGAAAAAGCAGCCAGCTATTGCCAAGAACGGCTCTGTACCTGCAAAGAAAGTGAAAAAAGCTACCAGTTCTGGTTCTTCTGAGTCTAGTAGCGAGGAAGATTCATCCTCTGATGAAGTATTATGCTCCTGCTTGTAACATTATCATGGCTGTACATATTCTTTTTTATGATTGATTGATTGATTTTTAATGTTCAATTATTTTCCTCTTAATTCCAGGAAGCTCCAGCTCAGAATAAAAAAGCTGTAGTTGCTAAAAATTCTGCTAAGACAGTGAAAGCTGATAGCGGTTCCGAGTCTAGTAGTGAGGAAGATTCATCCTCCGATGAAGTGAGTATTCTGCTGATGCTTATAAATTTAACATGATTGGACCTATTCTTTCGTACTATTATTGGCTAATTTTTTGTTTTATTCCAGGAAGCTCCTGCTCAAAATAAAAAAGCCGCAGTTGCTAAAAATGCCTCTGTTCTTGCTCCTAAGACTGTTAAACCTGATAAAAGTTCCGAGTCTAGTAGTGAGGAAGATTCATCCTCCGACGAAGTGAGTATTATGCTCATGGTTGTACTACTAGCATGATTAGAAATACTCTTGTATGATTGTTAATGATCAAGTTTTTGTTTATTACAGGAACCTACTGCCCAGAATAAAAACCCTTTAGTTGCAAAAAGTGTCTCTGTTCCAGCTGCTAAGACAGTGAAAGCTGATAGCAGTTCTGATTCTAGTAGTGAAGATGATTCATCCTCCGACGAAGTGAGTATTATCCTATGGTTATAGTATTAGCATGGTGGGAAATTTTCTTTTGTATGATTATTAAGTTTTTGTTTATTCCAGGAAGCTCCTGCTCAGAATAAAAAACCAGTAGTTGCCAAAAATGACTCTACTTTAGCTGCTAAGAAAGTGAAAGCTGATGATGATTCTGAGTCTAGTAGTGAGGAAGGGTCATCCTCGGAAGAAGTGAGTACTATGCCCATGCTCGTAACATTTGCATGGTTGGACTTAAATGTTATATTTCATGCTTATTTTTGTATGTAAAAAATCCAGGAAGCCCCTGCTCAGAATAAAAAACCTGTAGCTAAACATAGCTCTGTTCCAGCTACTAAGCCGGTAAAAGCTGAAAGCAGTTCAGACTCTTCTGATGATGATTCCAGTGAGGATGATGTGAGTATTGAGGCTAATGCTTGATAGAACACAAGAATTTCTATGCAAAGTCTTGATTTTTTATCTTTTGTTGTTGAATTTTGGTTTAGGGACCTGCTGCAAAAACAAAGATAGCGACAGCTGTTAAAAATGACTCTGCATCTGTTAAGAAAGGCAAGCCCTCCAGCAGTTCGGATTCTTCAGATGAAAATGAAGTAAGTTCTGTATTGTTGAATGATATTTGCTTTTTAATTCGATTGGGTGACTATTTGTATTATAATTTGTTAATGTGAGGTTTTTCCTTTTGCATATACAGGACAAAACAAAACCTACCTCTAAGAAAGGACCTGCTATTGTTGCAAAAAATGTGCCAAGTGAAAGTTCAGAAAGTGATAGCTCGTCAGAGGAGGAGGATGTGAGTAGTGTTGCCTGCAATGTTAATATAAATGGATATTTGGAATATCTTGCAAAGTTTTCTAGCCATGCAAACGTGTCTTGGAATTATGTTAAATTTTGGTGTTTATTAGACTTTGATGTCCTTATGAAACCTACCTTTTAATTGTGATTGAATTATATATTTTTATTTTGTAATTTCACTACTACTACTTGTATAGGAACCTCCTTGCAAAGCTACTATACCAGCTTCTTCTGCGAAGAATGTACCTTCACTGATTGCAAAGGATAAAACTGCATCCAGTGATAGCAGCTCTGAGGAGGATTCTGATGAAGAGGTGTGATGTCTCATTCATGAAGTTCCATGCTTTATTTATTTGGTTTCTGCAGCCTATTTTATTCATTCTGTTGCCTGCAATAGGATGCAAAGAAAGCAATTTCTGTGAAGAAAACTTCTGCTCCCACCCTTAAGAAAATTGAGGATTCCAGTAATAGCTCCTCTGATGATAGTGATTCTGAGGAAGTAGTGGTTTGTTCTTTAACTTATGAATTTGTTAGTATATATATCAGTCTCAGGTCGGTCATGGTTGTTTACTTTTTGTTCTTATTGTTCATGAATAAATATTAGCAGAAAGTTGAGGAAAAGGATAGTAAGAAACCTGATACTGTGAAAACTTCAAAGAAAGAAGATTCATCTGAAAGCTCTGAAGATACCGATTCCTCCGAGGAAGAGGTAATTGGTAACCCTGTGTTATTTAGTTTGGTGGCTTGTCCCTTTCTAATCAAATTCTGAGTATGAGGAATCAACAATTTTTTTCCTAAGGACTAGTGTGTTTGTGTTCCATTTCGTGCTATAATTTGGCTGTGCATTAATATGATACTACAGGCTCCTACAAACAAAGCTTCTGTTGCTGCAAAAAGGCCACTCCCCACAGATGGGACAAAAAAATCAAAAGAGGTTGCTTCTTACAGTTTTTACATGTAGTTACTGTCCTGCATTCGTACAAGTTCTGATATTATGTATACCTGCTTGGATATTTTTTTTTCCTTGATGAATTTTTAACTTTATTTGATGGGCTTGTATTTGTATTGTTGTGTGCATTAATCAGACATCTGTTTTGGTATTTGCTGAATATTGATAAGGGAGGACAATGCTCCTATCCTTTCCTTGAATTTTGGGTTGGTCTTCTTTATTTAGTCAAGTATGCCAGCTATGATTTCCTGAGATTTGCTCAGCAACTCTAATTTATCGAATGGTTTAATTGATTCAGGGATTTAAATCTGTCAATATCACTTAGGAATCTTCCAACATTGTTTGTACTGTGACCAAAATATTATCATGGTTCTTCCTAACCTTCCTTCTAACATTGCAGGAAAGCAATGATAGCGAAAATGATAGCTCTGACGAAAGTGAGGATGAAGCACCTCCAGCTAAAAAGGTCAAATTTTATTGATCATCTATGTTCCACTAGATTTTTCTTTTATCATTGATATACTATCGGTTTACTGAATTTTCTAATTCTGTAAGCTGCAGTCTAAGGTTTCTTCAGATGGTGGTAAGGTTGCCAAGGTTGTTAAAAAAGTAAGCAGTAGTGAAGACGAGGAATCTGAAGAATCATCCGATGATGAGGAAAGTGATGAAGAAGAAACTCCAAAGAAAAAGGTTGGAACATTGGAATCTGTTTTTTCTTTATACTTTTGGAAGTTTGTGATGATTGCCTAATGAAATGTTGTATATTGGAACCAGGACACAGATGTAGAAATGGTGGATGCTGCAACACCACAGAAAATTACCAAGCAGCAGGATTTAAAGTCTGGAAAGAAAGCTGTAAGTGCCAATTCCATTCCAGTTTCTTCCAGATCTTATCCCGATTGCTTCTTTGCCTCATTTGGTCAATCAGGTGGAAATCTAACGAGATTCTTTTTTCAGCTCCAAGCCCCCACAACTCCTCAAGTTCAATCCACAGGTTCAAAGACACTGTTTGTTGGAAACTTACCTTTTCAAGTAGAACAAGATGATGTGTACGTTCAGGTTCTCCAGTCCTTTAATTGAATTTTTGTTTTATTTCATCTGATCATTGTTATCCTACAGAAGGAATTTTTTTAAAGATGCTGGTGAGGTTGTGGATGTACGTTTATCTACTGATTTTGAAGGGAATTTTAAGGGGTATGGACATGTTGAATTCGCTACCGCAGAGGGTGCACAGAAAGTAAGTTTCTGTATCAATGTCTGATTCATAAGCTAAACTAATGTTTTCTGCAATTAATCAGTTAAGTCTTTGTGTTAACTGTTTGTATGAAAATAGATTTGTCAATATTTATTAGTATAAGGTCTTTAATGAACTACTAATTTCAAATGAAGAATAAACTGCTGAAATTTAGTATTGAAATCTGTTAGTCTTGTGTTCATTCTATAAAATGTTTCATGCCAAGGAAAGTTCAATACCAAATATGTTTATATTTTTGTAGAATTTGTATGATTTTGTCAAATTGTAAGTCCAGCAAATGATGATTCGAATTAAAATATTCTATGAATGGTTTCATATTTTATGAAACCGAACCTGTTTAAAAACACATTAAAAAAAAGTCTTGACGTGTATTGCAAATGTATTGCTCTCATACTTCTTTTCTTTTAGGTTAATTGTAAATCTACATTGGCTAACACCATCTTGCATTGTAGGCTCTAGAATTGAACGGTGAATATTTAATGAATCGTTCTCTTAGACTTGATTTGGCCCGTGAAAGGGGTGCATTTACAGCACATAGCAGGTAATTTTTTCAATATCACCATATGTGAAACCATATTTAAATTATGAAAGCCCCCATCTTGACATTGCCATGTATTGCATCGATTTATTCAACTTCTTCTGGCACTGCCTATTTCAGCAATCGGAACAACTCGTTCCATAAAGGGGGAAGAGGTCAGGCTCAGACAGTATTTGTTAGAGGATTTGATCAATCTCTTGGCCAGGATGAGGTGAGTGGTTTGTTTTAAATAACTAGCTTTTGTTGCCCTGTACTCATCCTCCACTGTGTTTTAAATTTGTGTATCTTCCATGTCCAACACATTCGCAGGCTAAGAAATCCTTGGAGGAGCACTTTGGTTCCTGTGGAGAGATTTCTAGGGTGGCAATACCTGTGGATTGGGAATCTGGTGCCGTGAGAGGGTTTGTTAAATTCCCGTTTTCTATTGTTTTTATTTCTTTGTCCTCTTCTTTAGTGATACACATTTATATATGAGATGAATCCTTCTCCCAAGATTGTAGATAAGAAGCTTAAACCTGGTGCTTTTAGCATAATGCCAGAGAAATAGCCAAGTAGACCGTAGTCATTTACCGTATGTTGAAGTTGAACAGCGTATCTGATAATATACAATGCTTTGCAGTTATGCTTATTTGGATTTCACCGATGGTGATAGTTTCAACAAAGCCCTAGAACTTGATGGATCTGTACTTAAAAAGCATTCCTTGTCTGTGGAAGAGGCAAAGCCAAGAGGTGAATTCCGTGATGGTCCTGGCAGCGGAAGAGGTGGCAGAGGTGGTGATAGGAGTGGAGGAAGGGACGGTGGCGGTGGCCGTGGTGGATGGAGTGGGGGAAGGGACGGTGGTGGCATGAGTGGTGGAAGAGATGGAGGTGGGCGTGGTGGAAGACGTGGGGGTGGTCAATTTGGTGGTGGTGGCGGCGGCGGCAGAGGACGTGGAACACCTAATAAACCAAACCTTGCTGCTGCTGGCACAGGTATCAATCGTTACTACTTGCTTTGCTTACATTAAATCCTTGAGGTAAATATGGGTTTAAATTTATTTATTATGCTGCAGGGAAGAAGACTACTTTCACAGATGACGATTAATGAATAGAGCACACCCCCATTTTTCCCTTGGTTGCTTATGTTGTAGTAATTGCTTTTGTGATAGATTATTATTATTATTATTATAAAATCTTCCTCGAATTATTTTAAAAGAATCAATTAAATTTTTGTTATTTTACATCCAAATGAATCTCGAAATCCAAAGAATAAATTATCCTTTAACCGATTATTATAATGCATTGATGTAACGATTATAAAAAAGTAGACGAACATCTATTTAAGAAGAGACTGTAAGGGATCAAATTATAAGAAGATTAATGCAAGGAAGCATTTAAGGATAGGGGTGTTTGAACAGGTGATTCGGTCATTGATCGATAGATTTTTATTAATTGAATTAATCAAAAATTTCTTTAATTGTTGATCGAATCTATTTTTTTCTTAAAATATTAATTGAAATAAATAAAATTAGTTATTTTGGTCGGTTAATCTAATTATTTTTAATTAGATTAACTTGAATATAGTAGAAGTTTTATTTAATTTAAAATTTAATTAGGCATTGATAATTTAATGAGTCTAGTGTGGTTAAAAAATAATTGGCTCTTAATTATTAATGGATTTGAGCTTATAATATGTATTTTAATATAATATATTTGTCATTTAATAATTTTAGTTAATTCAATTAATTAATTGATTTTGAACCAAGTTAACCGTTAACCGAATATTGAAATATATTAATTGTTCTTCGATCGAATTAATTCGGTGGTCGATTGAATTAACTAAACTAATTTGATTTGATTGGTTAATTCGGTTAAAACCGAAAATATAAACACCCCTATTTAAGGTAGAAGCAGGTTGACATTGTTGGTTGGTATTATTTATTTTAGGCATAATTATAAAATAAATGTCTAAAATACATAGTTTTTTAAGTAGGTATTTAATTTTTTAAAAATCATCTAAGTGTGTAACGTTACAAACATTACCATTTTATGTTAAAAAATAATTAAATAATATTATTATTTTAAAAATAATTAGGTGATATGTGTAACGTTTTTTATAATTTTAAAAATTTTATTTTAAAATAAAATATGAAATATTATTATTTTTCAAAACCCCGTTATCCCTACCTCCAGTCCCACTCCCTCTGCAATTCCTCACCCCCACACCCAACTTCCCTCCCTCACGTCTCCATTGAACCGGCAAGCCACCGATCACCATCACCGCCGAACCAAACACCCACCCACCTAATTGGCCACTATCCACACTTTCGTGGATTACAATATTTGGTTAAATTAGACTCTCTCGTTTTGTTGCAGCAATTGTTGCAGTCGTTTCAGCTACTATGCCTCGGGACGATGTTTCCTATTGCATCTATGCTCTTATACGACGATTATCATGGACACGTAATTGGGAGGTATGCCGGATTACACACATACTGTATTACTATTCTTTCACAATTCATAATCTTTGGTTTGTTAGTTTAAAGAAGAACGGCAGAAAAATTTTACAAGTAAAAACTATATATATTAATTAGATTTGATGGGCTGAATGTTTGTTTGGCATCTAGGTTGCACAGAAAACTTTAATAGTGATTCATCGTGCTTTGATTTTGTCGCAACCATCTTTCGGGTAGGCCCGAAATTTGGCTTCAACTTGGATTAAAATATTAGGAGTCGCCATCGATCGTTTATTTTTTGTAAAAAATTTGGTTGATCGGATATCATCTTACCTGATCTGCGTTTCACCATAAATATGTCGGATTTGGGAGTCGGTTACAGACAAGAAATGATTAGCACCCTTGAACTGCCATTTCGGTACCATTTAATTTGTCGGTTGTCTTAATTGAGAAAATTATAATTTAAATTAAAATTTAAAAATTTGATCATAAATATTTACTTTTTGATAAATTAAAATTATCCATAAAAATCATAAATAAGTAAAAAAAACAACAAAAACAAAGAGTTAGTATTAAGATCAAAATAAAAAAATAACTAAATAAATAAGACGGAATAAGAGAGAATTCATAAAAAAATAAAAATACATTGGAAATAATTAGAATTCATTGATCGAGTTAATTCTAGTAATGAGCTGCAAGAAAAACAAAACTTAAGAGATTAAATAACAAAAAAATAGAAATTTAAATTATCAAAATAGCACAAATAGAAATTTAAAGAATTAAAATAGTATTAACATAAACTAGAAAGACATAATAAATAAATATGAACAAATCAGAGCCTCAACAAACAATTTAAAATAAATACAGTTGCCCAAATTTGTAATAAAATCTAATTATGCTGACTAAAATGCAAGAAAACATAAAATAATAGCTAAATAAAAAATAAACAAGGATCCAAATGCTAAAATTAAAATAATCGAGGCTAAATCAAAAACTAATAGTGACTAAAATAAAGGAAATGAAAGTTACATGCATAAATTATTACAAAATATAACATATTTGTGATTGAATTAAAAATAACGAAAATAAAAAGCCTAAAATAAAATAAAATAAAAACATAGAGGTTCAGTGACTAGAATGTAAAAGCAAGGTAATAGTAGAGGGACCTGAACTCGATTAGACGCAAGGATTTGGTGGCCAATGTGTAAAAACACAATAGAATTGGGGTGACTTAAACATGAATAGACCAAAACTTTAAGAGACCAATATAAAATATGGCAATAAATTAAAGGATTCTATGTGAGGTTAACCCAAAATCCACGGCGTCCTAATCTCCGGTGAATCCGAGAACCACACCGACCATTCGAATCTAGACCCGACGACGGTGACACCCCACTCCGACGAACACCGAAACAAGACACTTAAATAGTAATTTTTATAACGTTAGACACTTGAATCATTTAAAAAAAGACACTTACCTATAAAAACAATATAATTTAGACACTTATTTTATAGTTAAATCTTATTTTATTCTTCATTGTTTCCTCCGTGTTCTATACATCAACATTTATTTTTGAAGTGATAACAGAAGAAAAAAATCTAAAATAAAAAATGATTCAATTATATTTATTTCATATATTAATATATATTTTTTACTTTCCTCGTTTTCTTATGCTACAGAATCGAGTGATACATAAGCAAATGAAAACAACAATCTATTATTTGTCATTATGTCATCCTTTGTCATTGCATGGATTAACAATTTTATTTTTATTATGGTAGAAAATGCGAGAGTTATAGGGTTAGGCAACCTAATATAATGTTGAGGAAATACATGGCCTAAAATATTATAAATACCATAATATTTTAGGTTTTTTAAGTCGTGCAATTTTTTAGTCTTATATTAGACTATCTCGTCTTATAATCACTTAAATAGAAAATAAAGTATAAAAGAAGAAAAAAATCAAGAAAATAAGTAAAAGTTGTCGATGTTAGAACCGGTCCAATGTCAACTAAACTATCATTAAAATGTTATTAACGCAAGTAAAGTTTATGCAAGTGTGTGAGTTATTGAGCAGTTTAATAGGCAGTTTGTATATTATCATTACATTGTTGAACTATAAATTTCTGAATTCTGATCCAAGTTATCATCATTTTGTTGATGATTTGCAACCATACGCCACCTGTTTGTGGTTTATGAAACAAATACACGTTGTTGTTCATAAATTTATGCAAATTGTTTCTTTGTTTTGGGTCAATGGTTAAACCTTCACGTTCATTTGTTTTTGTTGCTATATTGCTATTATTTAATATATTTTTTGTTGAGGATAATAAAAATTTAGTTGACTTGGCTTCCCTTCTCTTTAAATTTGTATTTTCCATGGAAACAGAGAAGAAGTTGTATCATCAATTTTCCCGGAGATTTTTTAAAATTTCGACTCAAACAATAGAGCAAGAATCGGAGGTCAATACAGGAGACTGATGAGATTAGGGTAAACAAATTGGTTTTTTTTTGTTGGTAAACGGGGGAATATTCATATGGAAAGGGAGAGGCGGGATAGCTCCATTGCAAATGGACACTACAGTTACAATTCTAATGGCCATTGCAGTCGGTTTTGCAATGATTATCGTCTATCAAACGGAGGTAAAATTCTTTCTTCCGGTTTCATTGAACATTCCGTTTTCCGGTTCGATACTCCCGCCGGCGTCGCCATCAAGTACGGCGTCGAGGTAACTACATTTTATCATTTCGTTTCAAACTTTAGGATAGGATTCTCAATCATTTTCATTTCAAATTTTGGGAAACTTTATAAATGATAACCTAGGGATCTTGTCGTATATAATATGTGGAGTTAGTGACAAATTGTTGTTATTGTTGGTATGTCTGTGAAAATAATCAGGTAGCTGACATAAAAAAGATGAATGGACTGGTTACAGATATTCAAATGTTTGCTCTTAGGACATTCCAGATCCCTTTACCTTCTTCTTCTTCTTCTTCTTCTCTTCTTCTTCTTCTTCTTCTTCTTCTTCTTCTTCTTCTTCTTCTTCTTCTTCTTCTTTTCTTCTTCTTCTTCTTCTTCTTCTTCTTCTTCTCTTCTTCTTCTTCTTCTTCTCTTCTTCTTCTTCTTCTTCTTCTTCTTCTTCTTCTTCTTCTTCTCTCTTTCTCTCTTCTCTTCTTCTTCTTTTCTTCTTTCTTCTTCTTCTTCTCTTCTTTCTTCTCTTCTTTTTTTTTCTTCTTCTTCTTCTTCTTTTCTTCTTCTTCTTCTTTCTTCTTCTTCTTCTTCTTTCTTCTTTTTCTTCTTCTTTTCTTTTCTTCTTCTTCTTCCTTCTTCTTCTTCTTCTTCTTCTTCTTTTCTCTTCTTCTTTTTCTTCTTCTCTTTTCTTCTTCTTCTTTCTTCTATTCTTCTTCTTCTTTCTTTTCTTCTTCTTCTTCTTCTTATTCTTCTTCTTCTTCTTCTTCTTTTCTTCTTCTTTTCTTTT